AAAGCACAGAAGAATATCTGCCTCCCATCCTTCCATGCATTTGGTTTTGGGATGTACTCATAATGCATGCTTGGATTCACCGCTTTGATTGCATTGAAAAGTACTGGCAGCTGCTCATACCCATCCTCCCAGTCCCCATATATCATCTTCCACGCTCGCTGCTTAGCCCTCCAAGCTTTACCATAAGTTATCACATAACCTCCATACAATGCCTCAACAGTTCTGATAATTGTCCTAACCTTCATGTTGGGTTCTCCCTGCAATATTCCCATCAACCGCTTGGCAGTGAGGGTAGATGTCAACTGTCGATGGTTCAGTGTCAGCACATGGTCAGCACAATTGTGTGGCCCGATAACTTTTGTGATCTTCCACTTTCCGGTGACCTTTTGCTTCCTTGCACAAACCCTCCATGGGCAGCATTCCTTGTCACACACAACTGTGTAACGGTGCTCCGTATATGAATATAAGACCTTGTAAGGTCTCTTTCGTATCACTGCAAACACCTACAACCACCTCTCCAATGCAGGGAGGTCCTTGAATACCCTACTCTTCTCAATTACCATGTTAGGGCCGGCCTCAAGAGCTTCTAGGATCTCATCATCACAGCCTTCTACACGCGCCTGATCATAATGAGCAAGATCGCTGAACTCGTGAACTCTTGGATCACGGTGGCCGGGAAAGATACGCCTCAGCATCTCAACATCACTCTCTGTCAGCTCTCCAACAGGGCGATCATCATCAGAATCAAGAGCCCTTGTCATCTCATATGGCTATGAATCATTCATAATTTCAACACTATTGGAGCCACGGAATCCATCTCCATAGTGCACTTGCGCAGCAACAGTGGGCACATTCACATTATCAGGAATGTCTCCTGCAACATAAGTAGAAAAATAAGGAAAGAATGAAAAAAATGGATGTAAGGAAGGAGGTAAGCTCCCAATAACCATGCAGATAAGACACTTACTCGGATGATTCTATGTCAAAGGGATCTCATGAGGAGGATCTACCACAACATCATGAGTCTAACAAGCATCTCCAACTAGCTCATTAGGGGTAGATTGAGCATCGAGAACCGTAGGTGCAACCTCCACATCCATATTAGGTTCCGGGATGGGAGGGTCGAAGTGTGCCTGCTGACCCATTGGTGGGGAAAACCCATGAGGGATGGGATCAACTAACATCCGACACACAACCACATCCAAACTTTGTAACTGGCACTTCATAGTAGATCTCACATAGTTCTCCCACTGGTTTGCACACCCAATTGGGATCATCTTCCTAAGGATGTTGGGAGGGAAACCTAGGTGAAGTACACCCTCAACTGCAATGCCATCATCCGCTCCATGGCAATGTAGCTCCTCCCGAGCCCTTGCAACCAACTCACTAAATGAATGCTTCTCATTGAATAACACAAGCACGCTTTGTATCTCAACAAACTCAACATATCCATAGCGATCTCTTTCCACGGTGCCTCCATGATATATGCTCACTAGGTTGTCCATCTAGTAGTTCAAACAAAAATTGAAATACAGTTCGTTTAGTCCAAAGTAGCTGTTATATAGTACCTCTTTAATAGATAATAACCAACTACACCCTAAATAGCTATGTCACTAGCTATCTAACTATATTTGTCTCACTAACTAAATCAACTAGATATCTAATAACTATATCTATGTACCTATGTCACTAGCTATCTAACTATATCTATCTCACTAACTAAATCAACTACCTACATCACCAAATTTACTAGAAACTACAAAATAATCAAAGTAGCACTACAATTCAAGCTAACTAAGTACCTACATTGCATATTCAAAAATTTTACCTGTCCAAGTCAATGCAACGATGCGACGCGGACGTGGACGCCGGGAACGGAGCAAGACGGGGACGTGGAGGACGGGATCGATGGCGAGGTCATGACGCGCTGGGAGCAGTGGCCGTGTCATGGCCGGGGTCGCCGGAGGGAGCGCCTATGCGTGTGGCGGCGTGGGCCAGGAGGGGCGGTGCGCGGCGAACGTGGGACTGCCGACGCTCCACACAGTGAGGCGGCGCGAGCGGGCTATGGTCACGGGCGGCCAGCGCGGCTGGGGCGGGCGCGGGAGCGGGGGCGGGCGCGGGCGGTGCGGACACGGCGGCGCGGTAGCGCTGGCTCGGGAGCGGTAGAGAGAGAGGAAGAGAGAAAGGAAGGGAGGGCCCATACGTAAGACATGGCTTGGCGCCAATAACCTTGGCGCCGAGCTCAGCGCCAAGATCTATGTCGCCAAGCTCGGCGCCAAGTTGCCTGCCACATCACCGTCACGTCTGCGCCGAGCCCAAGACCTAGGAGCCAAAATCTATGGCACCGAGACATGTAAGCTCGGCGCCAACAACGATGGCGCCGAGCTAAGGGTCTAGATTTTGAAAGCATTCACTCCCGCCCGCGACGAGCACCCCACCCACGACACGTGCCCCCACCTGCGATGCTTGTTCCCTCCTGTCGTCGCCACGCCAACGCGCATTCGTCGCCTCCACCGTGCCTCGTGCTCAGAATCACGCCTCCCACTCAGGTTAGTGCCACCCGCCATGGCCGCGCACCCATCTGCCTACTACGGCCACTGCCAAGGCCCATGCCGTCGATGAGCTTCGCACTAACGTTCTCTGCGTCACTCCGTGGCATTGAACTCTGCGCCATCATCGAGCTTCGTGTCGATGAGCCTTGTACAACCGTATGTTTCACGCGTTTCAGATGTATGTTTCATGTGTTTGATCTGTATATTTTATGCATTTTATTTGTATGTTGCAAAAGGATCTCATGTTGCATATATTGCAATGGCTACACACGTATGTTTCAAGTGTATGTTCTACATGTTTCAACTGTTTTAGACATATGTTGCAAATGTATGTCCTAAATATTTCAGCCGTTTCAGACGTATGTTTCATGTGTTTCATCTAGATGTTGCAATGACTATACATGTATGTTTCAAGAGTATACTGCACATGTTGCAATAGTCGGACGCATGTTGCAGAGACGAGATGTTAGGACGGGGGAAGGGGCGTGGCCAAGACAAAGCGCGATGGAGGACGGGGGCGGCGGGGGATGGCACCGCGACGAGGGGAGGAGCGTGGCGCGGTGGGGGGAGGAGCACGACGTGTGGAGGGGGGGGAAGGAGCGTGGCGGGCTTGACGCTAGGGCGTAGCTAGGATGGGATCGAGGCGTGGGATGGGTCGCGGAGTGGCCGGACACGGTCGCTAGCGCAGGATAGGTCGCGGGTGGCTGAACGCGATCGCTGACGCGGGGTCTGAGGTGAGGGCAGCCGATGCGACGAAGGTGCAGATGTCAGAGCTGCGTCCGAACGTACGTACGCTAGCCACGCCTAAAGCCAAATAGCTTTAGTCTCTTAAGTGGTACATAGAGTGTATTCTCACGTCCAAACAATTAAATATTTTTAACTTTAATCAAATATATATAATAAAATATTACATAGTAAGTATTATTAGTAGATGAATTATTAAATATATTTTTTATAATAAATATATTTAAAGATATAAATATTGTTAATATTTTTTTTAAACCTAACTAAATTTAAGGAAGTCTGATGAACACGAACTCCATAGTGACATTTTTTACGCAAAGTTGTCACGCGTCGGTCATGCTCCACGCGGAGAACGTGACCTGCGGAGTTAGCTGCAGTGGATTTGACCAGCGGTGGACCGCGGGGAGGGAGGAGCAGGCAGTGGAGTTTGGCGTGGAGAGCGAGGGAGCTACCACAGGCGGAGTCAGGGTGTGTTTTGGATACTCGGTTAAAGTTTAATCCTTATCACATCGAATGTTTTGAAGGCTAATTACGAAAACTAGATGAGTTAATTATAAAACTAATTATAAAAACCCTAGGTTAATTTTCGATATGAATCTATTAGGCCTAATTAATCTATCATTAACAAATGTTTATTGTAGCACCACATTGTCAAATTACAGACTAATTAGACTTATTAATAGATTCGTCTCGTAAATTAGCCTCCATTTATGTAATTAGTTTTATAATTAACCTATGTTTAATAATCTAATTGGTATCAAGCATTCCATGGGACAGGGCTAAATTTTAGCCAAAGAAAACAATCCCCCTCAGCCTTGCAGAGGTGACTGCGAGTGCGGCTGCGGTAGATTTGGAGAATGGTACACGAGAGCTGCAGCGGCGGCATCGAGCTTGCCCCAAACACGGTCAACACCGCCACCGGCTGCTTCTGCTTCACGGTCTACTCCACCACCACCGGTTGCTCCCGCTCCACGGACGCGAGATAGATGATGGGACGCGCAACCCATCGCGCATTAGCGTCCTCCTTTTTTTTTTGACGGAGGAAGCAGATGTTAAACCATACCCATAACTAGAAATTAATAGTCAAGCTAAAAAATATTTAACTTAGGACAACTAGAACTACATTCATTTTGAAAACGGAGTACAAAGCATGACGGATATAAGGAATCCATAGAAAATAACACATGATACAACAATCAAACATTACTTGGGACAACGGGCCCATGTATCCAGTGTGTAGCGGCATACAATTATGGGAAAAATATAATTCAGACACAGTGTTTGAATATAAACAGAGCAAGACCAAAGAATGAATGATTGAAGGGAAAATTAGTTCTATAACATCGAAAGATCATGACATCTGGAAAATAACATTGAAAGTTTGTTGTTATGTAAAATGCCACTGAAAGAAATAATCTGTTCTGGAATCTAGCATTCTGTCAACTGGTTGTTAACGACGTCTACCTCACATTCACTCCACTTCACTCAGAGAGGACGGTCCCACTCGTCATCCTCTTTCCACCCTCTCACCAATCCCCGTGGCATGTTGGGCCATCCGTATGTCGATTTGTGGTGGAGATCCACCAGGCGCAGCTCTACCCCTCCCGTGAACGCGGTGACAGACAGGACCACACGCAAGCAGGAGGAGGAGCCGAAGGCGGCGATAGAGATAGAGGAAGGCGACGAGGAGCACGGTCTGAGCAACTAGCTGCGGCGGCGACCATGGACTGGCTGCTGCTCAACCAGTTGGGCAGCGAGGCCCTGTGGGAGCTGTTGCACGTGGTGTAGGCCCCTCTGTTTTGCCGGTCCACTGTCGAGCGCCTGTGCTGGAGCGTCGAGCCGCTGCTTCCTCTCTTCCAGGGCCTCGGCCCGCACACCCAGCGCTCCACGGGGGAGCTCGGCGAGCTCGCGGGGTAGGTCAAGGAGGCGCTCGACCTGGCCCGCCGCGTAGCTGTCGTGCTGGATGGAGGCACCCGACTGCGGCATCGCGCGTTGGCTGTAGCGCCACGCCCCCGCGCACGTCATCGGCGGCGTGCGCAGGCTCCGCGACGAGGCCGACACACACATCGGCCGCCTCGAGCACCGCGTCGAGGAGATGAGGCGTTGCTCGCCAAGGCCACCGGAGTCCGCTAGCCCGTGCGTGAACTCCTGGAGCTGCGCCACGGTGACGTGGACCTGCGTGCCGAACACCAATCGCCGCTCGTCGAGCCACGCAAGGCACCCTTCGGGGTCCTTGTCGCTCCGGCGTACGCCGGGAGGCGGCGAGGTTGCCTGGGGCGTGACCACCATGACGCGGAGTTCACAGTGTTATCTTAAACCGTGACGGAATGGTATTTTCAGCTAACTGTTCATTCTTTCGGTGCTATTTCACGCACGGACAAGCTTTCGATGGTATTTTTTTTAATATCGCGCCAGTGCTGTAGAACTAATTTTCCCATGATTGAACTGTATTGATTCCATTGATCGATCGGGTATATATACATGGCGAACAGTCGCCTTGACGTCCCTTCATCATGTCGAGCGAACGGACACGCGTCAAGCAAGCGTGCGGTGCCGCACGCGAGCGAAGTGCAACGGTGTCGCATAGAATTTTATTCCGAAGATGGATACGTGGGATGAGATCACCACCTTGTGATTGGTTGATACGGTTCTAGACACAGAACATCGCAGAAGCGCACCCAACAGTGTCACGAGGACACGATCGAGAGAAAAAAACGCACAAGCGCACCCAACAGTCAGTAGTAGATATTGAGAAGATGCCTGTGTCAGATAATCCATTGCTATCTTGTGTGAACATAGTAAGAGAAGCGACGTCGAAAAGGGTCTCTGCTATGATACTGTAGCCGCTGTAGGTGCGGGCGCCGCACGGCTTACCTGTAACACCGTAGACACATGCAGTGGCCGGCGCAGAGTCAGCCCTGTATGTTATGTAGTCACTGTTGCAGCAGAGCGGCTGTACTAGGACTAGAAGGATAGAGTTGTATAAATAGGCTACCACGGCAATTCAGTAAAGAGAGTTCAGATTTGCCATCTTCTATATAGGGCTCCGGCCAACGCTGGTGTCTCTACTATGTGTGTGTGTATGCTCTGTTCTCTCTTCTTCTTCAAGCTCTAGCCATAGTGTGTGGGACGGACAACGCTTGTTCGTGGTCGACATGACTAGTGGGTGCTCGGCAACACTAGCGGATGCTCGGCAAGACCGGTGAGAAGGCAACTCACCTGATGCAGCTGTAGCATGATATATGCAAGTGAGGAACGGGTCGGCAGCCTTACTTTGGCCTTACTTTGTATAGCTCCTCATCGAATTGGGCTAATTGGGCACATTTCCTCATTGTTTTCTTTCTCATAAAAAAAGGGAGTTTGCATTGGCTTAAAGCCACGTTTTCGCAGGAATGCTAGGCCAAAATTTATCAATGCCAGGTCGTGTGTATGGTTAAACTCTTCTTCTTCTTAATTACAATGATACGTAAATCTTTTGCGTATTCGAGAAAAAAAGAAATTTATCAATGCCAGGTTCAGGACACCTTCATCATTCAAAAAGTAACCCCTTCCACCGGCCACATCAGCACCTGCAAAAGTTGGGAAGGTAACAGATTCGGCAATGTCAAAAACAATAATTGAAACAAAACACAATTGTTGCCCTGGGATTCTTCATTCATACATGCATATTGACTAGTGCCCATGAGTACGCTGTCACACTAAAAAGGCAAACTTGATATTGCACGAGTTGATGAGTGGCTCCACGTTCTAAGACACAAACAAACAGTGCAACACAAGGGCAATACTATCACATGCAGGCCCCTAGATTAGCAGGAGCAAGCTGTGCGACTGTTTAGGACCTCCAAACTTTAAAGGCCTCCAAAGTACTAATTAACAATGGTTGATTAATTATTGGATAGAAGAAATAAAATGTAACATTACAACATAGGCCTTAGATTACCGATTAGCTAATTGGACCAGAAGGACGTAAGCTCGCCGGCCCCGGCCGCCCTGCTTGGCTTGGCTTCTTAGATTTTATGGCCCTATCTTATGTTTTACACAGGGGCCTCCAATCTGTAGGTACGGCCCTGATCACATGCAGCCATACTAGAAAGGTGACTAAGAATAAAATCAAGATAATTAGATCAACAGGAAAAAAAAGATTTGTGAGTGATAGGTCATTGAAACAGGATAGAATAGACAATGTTGAAAGCTAGAAATTACTTGAGGAACAGAGGGAAGTTGTGAGCATGTACCATTCTCTAAAGCCACAATGTCAAGCATCCTGCAAAGATCCACATGATTCTTCAAGTTTTCCTCCATTCTCCTTTCTCCCCATGTCCTGAAAACAACATTATTTCCCTGTAACAAGTAACTTAATCACCAGCTGTTGATATCAGCTAAGCGGAATGAATTTCTAGTAATTAGAAATATGGGACGACATCTCTGAATTTCTAGAATTGAATCATGAAAGACAGGCCCCACAAGCCAAGCTATCAGGGATGGCAGTGAAGCAAAAAGTTTTATGACTCCCGCATTCACTTTATAAATTAATAAAAATATTATTGTTTCTCTGGCTAGAAGTAGATTGACATATTTATCTCTATATGACCACCAGAAACTAAATTTCTAGCGCACCTCGTTGTCACCAATGGGCACAGATCATGCACAATATTGCCAATAGCCATAAGCCTGGTGTGAAGCATGATCTTGATACGCTGCACAAAGCTTCTGTGGCAGCCAACCTCTCCTTCCCATTGGTGGATTCCATCAGCTCCTTAACTTTTAGTTCGTTATTTCTCTGCACATGAACAAAGCAACCATCATGGCAAACCCAAGCACAACTACACAAGAAACTCGACAAGAGTATAACCATCATTCATTCTTAGTCACCATGGAAATAAACACGCATAAAGAAAAATCATGATGAAGACAACCGGATATCAGATTTCCATCTTATTACCTCATCAAGGGTGGCCACCTGTATCTTAGCACCATTGGCAGCCAACCTTTCCTGTGCAACCTGATGCAAGAGCTGCAGAGCAACAAGAGCAATGATTAAGCCAAAAATAAGACACCCAAAAAAAAACATACACATAAACAGGTTGGCACAGCACACGAAAGTAAAACCCCAGAGCCTCGGCCCTAAATAAGACCACCATCCATTGGCATCGCCCACGGCCTATCACACCTATGATGCCATCGTAACCACACCTCGCCGCCACCGGCCTATCCATATTTGAGCCAATGCAAGGGAGACACCCTATCTCGGTGCGTCGATTGTAAGATTGCAAGATTGCAAGATTTTAGTCGATTGATCAACTATATAAATCTTTGGGAGAGACTAGTGAACGTACCATCTTCAGCTTGCCCGTATCTCGGCTGATGGCGTTGAGCTCCTTCCGGATCTTATCCAGATCGTACTGCCCTGCAGCGACCAGACGAGAATCCTGGGAGTCAGATATACGCCGGATCGGAGATCTGGAAGGGCTTCGATTCGTCTAAAGCAACGAAGATATCTTACTACGGCGCCATAGGTCGTCTAGTTCGATGACCTCGTCGACAATCTCGACGGAAGCAAAGCGTTTGCGCTGCGACTCGCGGACGGCGTCCGGATCGCCGTCCTCTTTCTTCTTGCCGGTACGGCCGGTGCGGAAGAGGTTGATATCAAGCATCGTCGTGTGATGCGGCGGACGGACGACTTTCGGTTGGCAAAGTAGAACAAGCGGCGGCGCAGATATTCAAGAGGCAAAGAATGGTTCACAGAGTTTTTTTTAACTAAAAATCACTCGTTCGGGTCAAAAGTAGCAACCAGCCGACATGCTGATCGTTACACAAATGAACAAAGCAGCAACTCAACGCATCGATCCACTCTCCAAAGAGACTTATAAACTCGAAAAAAGGGGAAAAGTAAAAAGAGAAAGAAAATATCTGTGAACGCAAAATGCATGCTCGCATAAATCGCAATCACCGGGCGACGCCGACGATCGAGTGGCCAGCGGCCGGGATCATCACCATCAGTAGCCGGCGTCGGCGTCCTTGACCTTGACGTCGCACTGCCGCAGGGTGCAGTAGTACGGGCCGACGGCGTAGGTTTCCTTGTTGGGGGAGGCATGCGTGAGGCGAGACGGGATCTGGCCGGTCTTGCCGCGGTTGAAGTCGGTGAAGACGGCGCAGGCCGCGTCGCCCGAGGAGGCGAGGCGGACGAGGCACCGGGACGCCTCGATGTCGCGGTCGTTGCTCTTCGCCTTCCTGGGCACCTCGATGTTGAACACGCCCTGGCCGTCCGTGTAGTCCGAGCTGTGGTGCACCACCCGGTTGTTGGTGTCCCGGCACGTGATGCTCACCTTGCTGCCTGCACGTGGACATGGGTTAGCCGGCTCTTCCGTTGTATGTATTCCAGGATTAGGGGGGGACCGAGGGGGAAACGAACCGGGGATCGGCTTGGCGTTGTAGGCGTAGGCGTTCCAGTTCTTGGTGCAGTCCTGGCACTGCACCTTGCCCGTCACCGTGAACGTCGGCGGGTGGTAGTCCGGCAGCCGCGCCTCGGCGCACGCGACGGCCACGGCGGCCACCACCAGCGCGAGCGCGGGCATGCCCCTGACCCTGCTGTGCGCCATTGTACCGTCTGTCTGTCGCGCTCGCCTCCGATAACCTTTCGCACGATGTAGCGTAGGTGCCAACACGCAACAGAGACCGGTGGTGCTTGAGCGGGCAGGCAAATGCGATGATATGGCTTTTTATCGGGAGGGATTCCTCGCTCGCGCGCGGGCGACGACGTGAGCCCAACCCAACTCTACGATGGCTTTGGCCAACGACGTGCGCGCCGGTACGCACGTGTCGTGTCGGTAGACATCCTCAGGCGCCACCCGTCGATCCGTTCGTCCGTCCGTCCGTCGTGGAGGCCACCCTCCGGCCGCGCTCAGGCACACCGCGCGTAGTCGCTAGCACGCGACGCCAACGGCTCCAACAGTACGCACCGCGACGTGTCAACCGTCAAAGAACGCAGACAGCCGGGGCCCTCAAATCAAACAAAAAAAGGTCAGAGGAAATCCGGGGGCCACTAGTCAGCTCCCAGCCTCGACAAGTCAAACCCACCAGCCATCACCAAGATTCGGATTCGAGAAGGTGGTGGAAGGAGACAGAGGATGAAGCCCCGCGCCCCGCACACGCATACGCCGTACCGTATAGGGCTGAAAAGCCATAATAAAAAGTATTGTTCATTAATTTGTTGGAAAAAAAATATTATACTAATAGACCAGGCTAATAAGTTCAAACAGGACCATCAGATGTGTCAGGAAAAGTTTAGG